GTGAAAGGGCTCCTCTGAGTCACTGCTGTGTTTGGGAGGAGTGGGTGTTTGATGGAAATTAGACTTGAAGCTGGAAAGTGGGCCTCCAGGACAGCAGGAAGTCACCCCCTTCCTGAGAGTCATCATAGTCCAGCGGGCCCTGGAGCAGGCCAGCCTGGACTTGAGCCTTGGCTGGGTCTCAGCCTCTGTCCTCCTGCAGCTCTTTGTGTTCAGAGAAGAGGTCAGCCAGGGAACCTATGGCCTGGCCTGCTACCAGGTGTGAGCCCTGCCACCAAGGGCTGGACCCACATGACACCAGGAATGCCCAGCCACCCTGCTCTTGTTTGATGTTGGACCTAAAATTTCCCTTTCTGATTTTCATTTGTCTGTAGCACGACGGGTCCTTTTATTTTTCCTTTTTTAAGTTTTGAATTTCTCTCATGCTTGTTTCCTATCTCATCCTCTTTATTTTGACTCGACAAAATTTATCTGAGATGAGTGAGAAGAGGATGAGAGTTTTCTTAGTTGGAGTCCCAAGTCAATGGGCCAGGCCCCTGCCTCGGCAAGATCAGCTCCTAGACTCTACAAGCTTGGGATACTGGGGCCAGCGTCACAAACCCTGTGGCTTTGGACAAGTCCCCTCACCCCTGAGAACCACCACCACTCGTCCTGTGTACTTCAGGGGGCCATGGTGGGACCAGCTGGGCAGTGAGTGCATGCAGCCCATAGAGAAGAAGGTGCTCCGCCGAGGGGACCTCACCAGCAAGGCCGCGGGGGCAGAGGGCCACTTAAGCCAGCACACAGGCAGATTCCTATCCGACTCAGCAGAAAGCTCAACAGTGTACTTTCAACAGTAATGCAAACAAATATTTCCAGCACTTTATGGCTTACCATATACTTTTTACTCCTAGAGTTTGTTTATTCCTCACAGCAGCTTGGTGAGGTACCACTATTAGCATTAGTGCATTAGGACTCCCATTTCATAGATGAGGGCACAGTAGCCTGCCTAGGGGTGCATGGCTAGGCAGGTATGAGGCAGAACGCAGGCCAGGTCCTCTCGTGCCCACTGCCTGCCCAGGTTAGTACCTCATGGGAACGAGACAATTAAGATGTGATCCACAGACCGTCATTGCTGTACATTTACTGTACAAAGGAGCGCACCTCATGACCACAGAAGGTGACTCCACGTTCTGCCACTGTGTGCAGAGCCACAGGTCCTCTAGCAGAAAGGCGTCTGAAACTCACAGCCCTGCGACAAAGGCTGGGTCAGCAGCCCCATGGCTTTAATTTGTCCTTAATGCCTCTGGTCAACAGAGGGTACCTGGTGCTGGCAGGTCATCATTACACTGCTGCCTCTTCTCTGGACAAGCATGAACTTGGGGGACCCCTTCTAAGCCCTGTATCTCTGTGGCTTACCTCCTAGGTTTTTGTTTTCACTCAGGTCAGTTCAGCATGACTCCTTCACCTGAACCTTTCCCCCAGGGTAAGTGAGCTTGAGCCCCCTCTCCCTTTCCCGACTCAGTTCAGTAGAATATACGGAGTGTCTGATGCGAGCCAGGCTGTGAGAGTGGAGTGCGGAGTGAGACGTGCTCTCTGCCCGCGAGAAGCCTGGGGTCTAGTACAGAAGAGAAGGCAGCTCCCAAATTACTAGAATATGGGTGAGAAAGCTGTGAGTTTTTAAGAGAGGCGCATGGGCACTGGTTGGTGAGAAGGAGCATGAGGACCTGCGGAGGGCTTCATGGAAGAGGTGACCACCAAGCTGGGCCTGGAAGCCTTGCTTGGTGGAGACGGCAGAAAAAGGTGACCCACATGGGTTGAGTAGCGCACAAAACAGAGACGGGAAGCATAGTGCAGCCAGGCCCAGTGTGCAGGTGCAGGAGGTCAGCTATGGAGGGCTGTTGGGGAGGCGCAGCCACAAGGTGGACTGGGGCCTAGCCTGAAAGCCTTGAATCTTATTCAGTGGAGCCTGGGCCCAACCTAGTGCAGGTCATGTCTGTGTTTTCCAGACGTCATTTAGGCCGCACTGTCAGAATGAGAGTGGAGGTGAGGGTCCAAGAGAGAGAGACACCAAGGCTGCCAGGTGGCGGCAGAGAAGCGGGGCATTCTGTGGGGCAGCCAACACAGCACCAATGAGACTCCATTACCTAACAAGCTGTGGGAGGCAGAGAGGGAAGAACTGGGACCCCCACCATCCCCATCACCCTGGCTCCTGTGGGATCCAAGCTCAGCTCGGGCGGCAAGAAGTGGCTCTAAGGTACTCATCTGCAGCATGGGACAGGTGCCACGTCCTCCGCCTTGGCTTCTGTGTGCATCACCCAGGGAAGTCATGTGTAGTGCCTCACCACTAGACACGAGGGAGTCTGATTACCAGCAGCCAGGAGCCTTCCTTAGCTACTCCTCCCACTGAAGAATCACTTGCCGAGGGGCTGCTGCCTGGAGCTTCCCAAGGGCCACCAGCAGTCTGCAGCAATGACCTTCGTCCCTGTCCCTCCTGCTGACGGCCACGGGGAAGCTGTGCTGGGGGCGGAGGAGACCAGGAGTAAGGAGGCGATGGGAACCTCAGGTCTGTCACAGTTACCCTGGGTGACATTGGACAGACCCCTGTGCCTTAGCTCCTACCCCTAAAACAAAGGGACTGTACTTCATGATGTTCAGGGCCATGATGGCTCAAAACAATTGAACATTTTCTTAGTTTAAGAAGAATGGCAAGCTTTATGCAATCAATGCAATCAAGTGTTATCCTTTCCTGCTCTGTCGTGTCTAAAACTCCAGCCAATTTTTAATTAAGTCTTAGATGCAGGGGCCAGAGCCCCCTCGAAGGGCCAGGGCTCCTGTTGGACTTCCCCACCCTCTGGAGAAACAGGTTGGGAGGGTGCTGGGAGGACGCCAGCCCAGCAGGCAAAATGGGGAATCCAAAGCACGAAACCACACAGGCCTCTCTGCGGGCAGCTGGCAGCCATCTGGGGTCCTGACAAGGGTGGAAGACAGTTATGGTGACCTGGGCAAGGCCAGCCCACAGACACAGAAGGATCTTGCGGCAGCTGGTGGAGCCCAAGCGTGGAAAGGCCTCCATCCTAGGGCAGGGCCAACCCTCAGACCAAATGCTAGACAGGGTCGCTGGGACAGGGACTCAGCCCCCAGAAGGATGAAATCCAGATCCAGGAGTGAACTCAGCCCTTGAGACCCAGTCTTAGAACAAGGCTGATGTCCGGTTGTCCAAGCCAGAGCCCAAGGCCTGTGCCAACTCACAGCAGAGCAGCTCAGGCACAAGCCGGACATGGAGCGGAAATGCCAGGAATTCCTCCCGCCTCAGCCAGGATGAGTGGCAGTCGGGGGGTGGCGGGGACACATGTCCACAGCACCTTGCACACTGTCCAAGGACAGCTTGCAGCTCTTTTGGCAGCATATGAGTCTGTCACCTTCATCCTTCGTTCTTCAAGCTGGTCTCAATCTGACACCACTGTCTGATTGAGTTTAAGAAAGAAAGTGGCATTTGCACGTGGTTTGCATCTGCCACTTGCTGTATATAAGACCTTGGGCAAGCCATTTAGCCTTTCTGAGCCTGGCTTCCCAGCTGTTACAAGTCCTTATGGGAGCCTTCTTATAGGGTTGTGAGAATTAGAGTTAGATTTAATGTTAAATTAAGAAAAGTGCCTGGACATTGCTCTCGTAATATTCACATATTCATTCCTTCTGTTTCTTGAGAACAAGGAGGGAAGAACCACTAAGACCTTGGTCCTCTATGAAGTAGGAGGGAACAGGGGTGTGTGGGGATGTCCTGGGGCAGAAACAAAGCCACTTCCCCATCTAGTCAGGGAAGTATGAGAGCAGCCTGCCCAGAGTCCCTCCCCCAGTCACTGTGACTCTGCAGTCCCCTAGTGACACCTGAGCTGGCAGAGAAGGAACAGTCAGCTTTTTCTTAGGTGGGGGCGGAAGCTTAGCTGTGGCACAGCACAGGAAGCCCTGCACAGACGCCAGCTCCAGCCTCCTCTGAACAGGAGGTCTGCACAGCAGGAGGTCCCTCCTTCAGGGTCCAGGGCAGGGGTGTGGCCAGAAAGTTCCGCACCAGTCCAGAACAAGGGGAGCAAGGGCAGGGCCTGGCTGCTTCCCACCTGCAGCTCCAGACACCCTTTTCAGACAGCAGGGGTCACCCCAGGGCTAGAAGCATGGGCCTCAGCTCAGACACACCCAGGTTTTAACTCTGACCGCGACATCCACCAGCTGTCAGTGTCTGTCCTTTGCTCAGAAAGTGGAATCAGCCAGGCGCGGTGGCTCACGCCTGTAATCCCAGCACTTTGGGAGGCCAAGGCAGGTGGATCACAAGGTCAGGAGATCGAGACCATCCTAGCTAACACGGTGAAACCCCGTCTCTACTAAAAATACAAAAAAAAAAAAATTAGCTGGGCGTGGTGGCGGGCACCTGTAGTCCCAGATTCTTGGGAGGCTGAGGCAGGAGAATGGTGTGAACCCGGGAGGCGGAGCTTGCAGTGAGCCGAGATAGCGCCACTGCAGTCCAGTCTGGGCGTCAGAGCGAGACTCCGTCTCAAAAAAAAAAAAAAAAGTGGAATCAAGTGGATTTGTTAGGTTTGGCAAATCACAAACTGTGAACAAATCACAGTTCCCTGGTAATTTTAATTAGAACATCCTGGTGGGATGTAAAGAGGCCAGATTCAGTGTTAAAGGGTTGAGGGGATGGTGGCCAGCAAGAAGGCTGAAGCAGCAAGAAGATAGTTTGAGAGAGAAGGCAAGCAGGGTCAGTAACTGAAAGGGGTAATTTTTAACCATGTGAAAGTTTGGGTCTCATTTATTGGTTCAGAATGAAGAGCCATGAGTGAGAGAGAGGGTGATTGAGAGAGTGAGGTGAGTGGTGCACAGGTGTGAGTGAGGCCAACATTTAAAAAGATTCTTAAAGATGTCTCTTCTGCAGCCAGGAGGTGGGCACAGATAGAGAGCACTCCAGGTGGGTTTGTTGGGGCCTTTCTTCCTCTAACCACTCTGTTTCTGTGCTTCTCTGCCCACAGGCCCCTCCAGCCAGCGTCAGGTGCAGAATGGCCCCTCTCCTGATGAGATGGACATCCAGAGAAGGTAACCCAGCACCCACAGGGGCCAGGCTGGGTGGCCAGGGGTGCCTTCAATGGGTGAGGATGTACCAGCAGCCAGGGCCAGGACTCCTAGAGGCATACGCTGCAGGAGGGTGCAGGGTGCAGGCCAGACCGGGAAGAAAGAGGGGGCCAATGCACAGCCGCTAGTCCCGGACACCAAGACCAGGAATGACCGTGGGAGTCTGGCATTCTATAGAGAGTGCTACTGACCTCCAGCGGGATGGCTCTCAGGGTGACCCAGCAGAGCCCAAGTGCTCTCCATTGTCGCCTCACTTCCTCTTCCCCAACGTAGCAGGAGACAGTCCAGGCATGAGGGATTCTGCCTGGGGGGCAGTCGCTGCCATGGGATATAGGAATGAACCCTCTCACCCCATGACACTCTCACCCCATGGAGCTTCTAAAGTGTTAGCATGAGGGGAAGAGGAAGGGCCAAGGCTGTTGTCCTGAAGTTACAGTCATGGTGGGTCCCCATGGAGCAGCCTCCCAAGGTCACATTGAACCTAGGTCTGCCCTCAGCGATGGGTCCTCTGCCTCTTCTGTGTCAAGGGAGGTAGGGCCCGGCCCAGGCCTTCCTCACTCAGCTTTGTCAGACAGGGAGTCAAGCTGCAACTCTGTGGCTGCGCTCGAGTCCAGTCCTGGACCAGGAGTCAGGAAAGCCGGCGTCTGCCCCCACCTCCCCCTCTCACCAAATGGCATGGGGCTTATCCCAAGACCTCCTCTCCTCTGGCCTTTTCCTGAGACTGAGAAATGAATGCCTTGCAGCCTTGGGCAAGTTCCTCTCCGAGCCTCAGTTTCCCAATTTGAAGATGGTGTTGGCTTTGCTCTGCCTGTCTCATCCACTCACCCTCAGGGCTTTTCTTACTGTTGTCCCCATGAGCCAGCTGAAGCCCAGAGAATGGAAGTGACTTGCCCAGAGTAACCAGGGAGTCAGGCAGAACCCAGACTGGCAGTCAGGTCTCACTCCAGCTGCAGCTCCCTGGCAGGACCCAAGGCCGGCCCTACCCACAAAAAGGCGTGAAGGAATGAGCCACCAGATGCCAGGTGTAAGCGTACAGGAGTGGATGGCCGCTAAATGGGTCCTTCATTTCTCTCGAAACTGCTTCAACACCCACAGTGCTGAATTCTGTACCCCAGGGCCCAAACCAAGCTGTGTGGGGTCACTGGCCGGCTGGGAATGGGAGTACCGCCTGGCGGTCGGGGTGTGAACAGCAGGGGACAGCAGCCGGGCGCGGTGGCTCAAGCCTGTAATCCCAGCACTTTGGGAGGCCGAGATGGGTGGATCACAAGGTCAGGAGATCAAGACCATCCTGGCTAACACGGTGAAACCCCGTCTCTACTAAAAATACAAAAAATTAAAAATACAAAAAATTAGCCAGGCATGGTGGCGGGTGCCTGTAGTCCCAGCTACTCGGGAGGCTGAGGCAGGAGAATGGTGTGAACCTGGGAGGCGGAGCTTGCAGTGAGCTGAGATCCGGCCACTGCACTCCAGCCTGGGCGACAGAGCAAGACTCCGTCTCAAAAAAAAAAAAAAAAAACAGCAGGGGACATACCCACAAACACATACACTTGCCCCAAGGCAGGACCAGAGACAGACACACACACACACACACACACACCTGCCCCAAGACGAGACCACACACACACAAGCACACACCTGCCCCAAGGCAGGACTACACACACATACCTGCCCAAGGTGGGACCACACACACAGACACACACACACACACACACACACCCCTGCCCCAAGACGGAATCACACACAAAGACACACCCACACACACCTGCCTCAAGGCAGGAACACACACACGGCAGGGGAGACTCTCGCTTGTCCCACGCCACTTTATTGGAGGCGGACAGGGGCAAGACTTAGTGAGGCAGAGACTCCAAGCATCCAAACAGTATCATAGGTTCAGACGGAATGAATATTTTTCACACATCGTCATTTTACCATGGTTTTCTAGGTGTGTGGCTCCTGCTGGGGAGGTTTCAGCAGTTTGAGACCTCCAGCTGCAGCTCCCTGGCAGGACCCAAGGCCGGCCCTACCCACAAAAAGGCGTGAAGGAATGATCCACCAGATGCCAGGTGTAAGCGTACAGGAGTGGATGGCCGCTAAATGGGTCCTTCATTTCTCTCGAAACTGCTTCAACACCCACAGTGCTGAAT